GACAGTAAACATTAAATTCAATTAGGGAGAACGATTAGCAAGGCTTCTTCACGCCTTCACCCTGGGTAGCTCGGAGGAGTGGCTGCCTGGTCTGCATTGATCCCGGCACTGTTGTTGCGTGTGTAGCAGCCAGGAGGGCCAAGCGTGCGTTTTTCACTTCAGAGAGGAGTTATCGGGCAGTTGCAGACGGATGGATTTCCTAAACACGTTTCCATCACGGGTTCCGGGGGGGCCCCCTGACCAGGAACTCAGACCGTCTGGTTTGTGGCTTTTGGTCCTGGTGCCACAGCTGTCTCTTTTCTCTTCTCTCTTTGATTGTGACTATGATCCATCCTTCCTCCTCCTCTTCCCCCTCCCCTTCTTCTCTTCCCCTCTCCCTTCCAATGTTCTCCCTTCCTGTCCCTCCTCTCCCTCCTCCCATCTCCTTGCTTTTTTTTTCTTCGCTCCTTTTTCAGCTTCCTCTCTCTTCTTCTTCCTTGATCCCTCCTCTCTCACTTCCTGTTTGCCCTTCTCTTCCTCCTCTTCTTCCTCTCCACTAACATTATACATTAAGAAACATTTTAGACATAAAAGTCTAGAAAGTGACGTAGCAGACACCTGGGTACCCAGGCCTCAGGTGGTAAAATCCAGATTGCCTCTGATCGCAGTGCCAGCAGCATGGGACCCAGTGCTGTCTCTTCCCCTGGCTTCCGGGAGGGTTCACCCTCTGCTGCTGCTTCTCCCGCCTCTCAGGCCTCTCTTTCTCAGCATCCTTCTGTGGCTTCTCCTCAGCCTCCTCGCACCCCTGCCTGCGCACACTGGGCCTCCTCCCTGCTCTGTCACTTTTATTCCAGTGCATGAATGGATCGGCATCAGTGACAGGGACCCCCAAAGCTCAGCCTCCACCCTGGACCTCACACTCATGCATCCAGCTGTCCGCTTCCTCTCTGTCATCCAAACCCGACCTCCGGGTCCTCCCGAGTTGCCACTCTTCTCATCAGGCACACCCCTGCCACCCTGCTTCCTCTGGTGCTCGGGCCAGAACCAAGGACTGTCCTGGACTTTTCTCCTGCCCTCCTGCCCCACCTCCGAGCCAAGGTTGGTTCTACCTTCTAAGCAAGGCCACTTCTCCCCTGTTTCCGACTGGGCCCTGCCATCCTCCTCTCGCCTTGAGTGATCACAGACACTCCTCATGTCTCCCTGGCTCCTCTCTCCCTCCCTGCATGGAGGGTCCTCCCCCAGGGTCTGTGTAGCTTCCTTCTTCAAGGCACCTCCTCCGAGATGCCCTCCCCGGCCAGCCATCGTTCCAGCCCAGCCTCCTTTTCCTGCTTGCTACTTAGAATGCCAGGCTTTATCGCCACCGTAAATACTACATAGATCCCACTGGCTCCTCTTGTTCAGTGTCTTGTCTAGCCCACCAGAATGTAAATTCCGTGCAACAGGGGCTTTGTCTTCCTTGTTTACTGCTGAACAATGCCTGGCTAATAGGTACTCAGAAGTGTTTGCTGAATGAATGCATAAGTGAAGGAGTCTAATGGATTCTAACACTTGGGCTTCAGAGCAGATTCATATTCTCTCTCTGCTTCTCTGCCCCGGGCCCGGCCCATCTCTCTCCATTATCAGGAATGACTACCGTATGCATGCATATTTTATAGTCTTACTGCAAATGCACAAATAAAGAGGATAGAGTTTTGCTTCATGTGTGTTTTTAACATTGTGTGGAAATACAGCTAACAAAGTTTATCACCTTAACCATATTTAGGTGTATGGTTCAGTGTGTTAAGAACATGCATGTGCCCTAGCCAGTTTGGCTTAATGGATAGAGTGTCAGGCTTTGGCCCAAAGGGTCTTGGGTTCAGTTCTGGTTAAGGGCATGTACCTCAATTGCAGGCTCCTTCCTGGCCTGGGCCCTGGTTGAGGCTTGTATAGGAGGCAACCAATCGATGTATTTCTCTCACAACAATGTTTCTCTCTGTCTTTCCTTCTGTCTTCCACTATCCCTAAAAATCAATGGAAAAATATCCGGGGTGAGGATCAACAAAAACAAGAAGTGGAATCATATACTGTTTGTCTTTTGTGACTGGCTTAGTTCACTTAGCATAATGTCCTCAGGATTCATTCATGAAAGAATCTCCTTCCTTTTTTGTGGCTGAGTAATATTCCTCGGTATGGATCGACCCCTCTTGTTTATCCGTTTATGTCTGTCGGTGGATTCTTGGCTGCGTCCACCTTTGGCCGTGGTGAGTAACGTGACTATGAACATTTGTGTGCAGCACCCCTGGGAGTCCCTGGTTCAGTTCCTCTGGGCACAAAAGAGGGGTTGTGGGAGCATGCGGTAACTGTGTATAATTTTAAGGCTGGGCCATTTTGCCTTCCCACCAACAGGGCACAAGGGTCCAGATTCTTCCCCTTCACCAATGCTTATTTGTTTGTTTTAGAATAGCCATCCTAATGGGTGTGAGGTGGCGTTTTGTGTGTTTTTAAAACTTAGATGGCATCGTACTATGTATAAGCAGTGTGGCCTGTGAACTCATTTTTTTTTTTTTTTTTTTTTTACTGTTTAGCCTTTGGATCTTAGTTCATTAATTTTACTTTATATTTTCCTGTTAAAGTCAGACGTGTACCTAGTTTTGAAAAACAAACAGCAGTTGCCTGCACTCTGCGCTTCTACCATGAATCCACTCGGAAGGCCCTGGCTGATCCTCCTAGGGCTCCTGTCCATGCTGCTGACTGTCAGTGCTGCTATTCCGGATTCTTCCGTGTGAGGCCCGGTCCCGGCTCCCCAGTGGGAAGAAAGGACTGAGCTCTCTTAGCATTCTGGGAAGGCCACTCTCAGCCTCTTGTTTTCTTACGCTCGGACCTCCAAGCCCAGAAACATGCTTTTGAAGCTTCAGGATGAATTTTCTCATTGCGAAAGGGGAGGTTCTCTCTCGGGCCAGGTTTGTGGGTGTGCGTGGGTTCCGGGGTGTAGTTGAGAGAGTGTCCAGGATCCCTGCTGCTAGGACTGCGTGCCTGCCAGCCCCAGGAAGCAAGGCCGCCAGCCCCGCGGCTCCACTGTCTGCCTGCAGGGTCCCCACTGCCCTGGGGTGGGGCTCGTCTTACCCCCGCTCCCTGGAGGAGGAGACCACGGCCCAGAGGGCCAGTAGCATTGGAGGCCCTTGGCCCTTGGCCTGCGTGCCGGCGGCAGGAATTCTTCCTGCTTCCTGAGTTCAGGCCTCGGAGCCACTGCGTGGTAGGTGAGGCCAGGCCCTGGGCTGCACGCCTGCCCTTTCTCCTGGCTGCGTGGCGGCGGGTGGAGTTTCCTGAGCGAAACACAGGCCCTCAGTGTACATGGTGGCACTGGCTCTTGGGACGAACAGTTTATATTGAGGCTCTGTAGCGTATTTTAGGAGTCAGCAAGTGCACAGGGGCTTTCTGCCACAGGCCTCAGTTCCCCACGGAAAGCCAGGGGGAGAGGGGGACAGTGCTTTCTCCCCTGAGGGCAGACGTATAAGCACAGGTGTGGCAGGCTCTCGTTTGGCTCTTTGTTTTAAAAGAGGACAGTGAAGAGAGGCTGGCCTGGTGTCCCATACAGGGCTGAGCGAGTCCCGTCACCGAGGAGAGGTGCCAGAGATGCAGGCGAGACTGCGCAGAACTGGGAATGAGCAGCAGAACGTGGGGCATATTGTTTTCTTGTGGGCTTCCTGAATCCCAGAGAAGTTTTTGGGGAAAGCTTCCCCTCAACTCACCAGCCCAAGCCTTTACCTTTATCCAGGAGAAGTTTAACCTCCAGGTCTGGTTTGATGGTGAACTGAAGGGAATCTAGTTCCACTGCAAGACCCTTATCCCTGGGCGGAGTCCATTTCTTTTATTCCTCTCTAAAATATATTTTTACTAGTGACCTGGTGCAAGGATTCATGCACATTGAAAGGAAATTAATTAGAAGGTAGCTGGCTGGGCGAGTTTGGGCGAAATGGCCTGGATACGCCCAGGAGCCAACCTCCTGTGGTCCTTCTCCATTGTCTGCGGAGTGAGTGGGGTCCCTCCAGCAGGTGGGGTCCCTCAGCCTGGCCTGCAGAGATCGGACCGAAACCAGCTCTCTGACATCCCTCGAGGGGTCCCGGAGTGCGAGAGGGAACTCTGCAAAGTTGCTGTCATACAGGGCATGAAACACAAATGCAAATGTGCAGGAAACTAGATTCAGCTAACAGTGTGCCAGCAACAACATAACCCATGGCCAAACGTGGAATCGTGGCCCTGTGAGGAATCAAGCTCCCTCCTCTCTAGTTTCGTGGTGTGTTACCCAAGAACCACCACTGCCAAGTCACTGCAGCTTAGCAGCTTCTACATTGAGCATCTTCCCCCTTGTGGTCCATGCACATCATAGCGACCGGTTGGAAGGTAGGAGGAACACTTAGCATATTAGCCTTATATATATACTAGAGACCTGTTGCATGAAATTTGTGTATGCAGGGGTGGGGGGTGGGGAGTGGGTGGGAATAGGAGGTCCCTCAGCCCGGCCTGCCCCCTCTCCAATCCGGGACCCATCAGGGGATGTTTAACTGCTGGTTTGGGCCCGATCCGTCCGTCAGACATCCCTCTCCCAATCCAGGACTGCTGGCTCCTAACTGCTCACCTGCCTGATTGCCCCTAACTGCCCTCCCCTGCTGGCCTGGCTGCCCCTAACCACCGCTGCCTCAGCCCCTGCCACCAAGGCTTTGTGTGGAAGGACATCCAGATGGATGTCTGGAAGACGTCTGGTCTAATTAGCATATTACCCTTTTATTAATAAAGAGATATATAGATTGATTTCAGAGAGGAAGGGAGAGGAAAATAGAAACATCAATGATGAGGGAGAATCATTAATCTGCTGCCTACTGCATGCTCCTTACTGGTATTGAGCCCGAAACCCTGGCAAATGCCCTTGACCAGAATTGAGCTCGGGGACCCTTCAGTCTGCAGGCCCACTCTCTATCCACAGAGCCGAACCAGCTGGGGCAGGCCGGGCCCATTTCTGATGTCTGCGCTGTGCTTGCCCGCAGGTGTGGAACGCGGTGGACTCGGGGAGATGCCTGCAGACCTACCCTCTGCACAGTGAGGCGGTGCGGGCTGCCCGGTGGTCTCCCTGCGGCCAGCGCATCCTCAGCGGAGGCTTCGACTGCGCTCTGCACCTCACAGACCTGGAAACAGGTGCGTTTCTCTGTCGTGACCCACGGCCCCCCTTCTGGTATCGGAGCCAGCTTTCCCCTGGGCAGCTCCTCCACGGGTCTGTGGCTGGTGTGGGGGCCGTGGGAGGAGAGCCCGGGACTGGAACCAGGCCTCTCCTTGGAGGGCTGGGCCGGGCCTGTGCCAGCCTGTCTGGAGGACAGAGCTCCAAGGTTGTCTCAGCCCCAAGCTGTGGGCTGGATAAAGAGGTGGCTTTTTAATCAACTTCTGACATGTAATTTGTCCTGAAATAGATTCAGCTTTATCACCGTGTCCTTTGGTCGGAATCAGTTTAGAATTCCTGTCAATTCATTATCGTTGAAAGCTGTAAGGAATGATTCCAGCTCTAGGGCGAGCCTGCGTACGAGTTCTGCTTTAATGCCCACGCTGAAGAGGCATTTGGGCGAGAGGGAGCCGGGCCGGGCAAATCCGAAGGGGGCTCTTGACAAGCAGGGCGAGAAGGAGACAGAAGTCAGCGAGGGAACTTCGTCACCAGCCCTGCTGCGCAGCTGGCACTGTTAGCCCCCAGCCCAGCCACCGCCCGGCCTCCTGCGCGGTTTTCAGGTGAGCTCACGCCAGGGAGTGCGGAGCTGGGCTCGGACCTCTGCCCCGGCCCCCAGGGTGCTGCCTTCTCCTGCCTGGGCTCCTGGGTCACTCCTCCGCTGGGCACCACTGCCAGAGCCAGGAGAGGCCTTGGGGGTCCCTTGAGCTCTCGGGCAGCCCCCACCTGCCTGGCCCCGCAGTGGCGGCGCTGGGGTCTGTGCCTGTCCTGGGTCCCAACAGGTGGGGGTAGTAACTCTGGAGTTGGACATCCAGCCTCTCCCCCGGAGCTTGGAGGAGGCACAGGGAGGACAGGCAATGGAGGTTAGGGGTAGTTGTGGGATTTGGCACCCCCCTCGAGTGTCCTTGTGCCCTGGGCTGCAGGGGGGCAGCCTTGCAGTGCCTCTGGCTGATCCCCCATGCGCTCAGGGAGGGTAGTCACGTGACTAATGGTTGTGTCAGCAACTGGGCCTGTGCCCATGACATGTTGCTCTGCCCCTCGGCTGCTGCCCGTGATTATTTCCCCATTTCACAGGTGAGGGAACAGGCTAAAGGGATGAGGAGCTCAGGGCCTCCCGCTGATGGGCGTCACATGGGCACTTGAGCCCTGTCTGTGCAACTGCAGAGCCCGTCCCCTTTCTGCAGGGCCACATGGACGGCTTGTTCTTCTCAACGAAGTGTCTCCCTGGCCATCTGTGGTCTCACTAGGAGCCACGGGGCTGAGGAGGGAGCCAGGGCTCAGGCGGTTTGGTGCCACTTGGTGACGGTGCCCATTGGGTCAGTGATGACAGCAGCAGGTACTGTTACCGAGTACCCACCGCGTGCCAGGACTTACACCCGGCCTCATTTAGGCTCCACTCATCCTTAGAGGCTGGTGCCACCAGAATCCATTTTCACACCCTGATCCAGAGGCAGGAGGCAGGAGGTAGAGCCAGGTTGCATGCAGGCCTGCCAGGCTCCGAGCCTTCCACCTGACCTTGCACTCTGTGGCCAGTGTGTTCAATAAACCATGCTCAGTATCGGAGACAGAGGGTTAAACAAAACCAGGACCATCCTGGACAAGCTTCCGGCTGCTGGGAGACACAGCAGTGCAGAGAGAACCGCAGGCCACAGCGAGGCAGTGAGACGCAGGAGCTATGAGAATGTCTAGCCTGGAACATCAAGGAAGACTACCTGGAGGAAGAGGAACCTGAGCTGAGGCAGGAATCAGGGGCAGAGAATCGGTGCGGGGTTATGGTTGAGTGGGAAGAAAGTGGGTTCTCAGCAGACAGAACAGGAAGGACAGAGTGGTCACAGGAGCATAAACTGTCTGGCGTGTGTGGAAATGTGGGGTATAGGAGCTGGGGTCTGAATCTGGGTGCAGGAAGGGAGCCTGGGCGTCATGAAGTTCAGGTCGGTGGGATGCACATCCCTCAGGCACTGCTCCCACTGCAGGGCCACTGAGGCCTATGGGCGCCGCCGCCCACCGTCCCGTCTGCGGAATGAGGTGATGCTTTTCATAGCCTGGTGATGCCGGGTTAATCTAATACAAGTTTATTTGATAACATTATTGGATTCCTAGTGGCCCTTTGTCAAGCTCTATCTTCTCAATCAACAGATGTTAAACAGATAAACAGACACTGCTGGTGTGTGTGTGTGCGTGTGTGTGTGTGTGTGTGTGTGTGTGTGTGTGTGTGTTGGGGAGTTTTTAGACTTTCAGTGCTCCTGCCTGGTAAGTCAGGGACTGCCACAGCAGGTGGCAGTAGGAGGCTGCTGCTGCGGCTGGACCACTCCAGGCAGGTTTCCTGGTAGCGGCAGCTGGTTGGGTGTGTCTGGGGCCCGAGGAGGGGAAGCAGCTGCCTGGCCCTTGATGGTAGCGCTCTGGCTGGAGGGAAGCTGTCTGGCCCCGCCCTGTGTGCCCCGTAGCTGTGGTGTGCCCAGTGGCACAGGGAGGGCATGGCCCTGCCCCTCAGAGCGTTGCCATCCAGTCTGGGAGGTAGTGGGGATTTTTCCTCTCCTGGGAGTGGCACGAACCACCTGGTTCACCTGTTAAAGGACCACTTTCTGTCATTCGGCGCTTATTGAGCACCTACTGTGTACAAGACCTGGTGCTGGGCTACAGTGGTGAGCATGTTGGATGTCTTTTGTCCCTTGCGGGTGGAGGGAGAGGGATGAGGGGTTTGGACTTCACCCTTGAGGAAACCCTTCAGCTCGTAGACTGGGCTTCTCTGGCTGAGGGGGTTGTTGGTTTTCATGTCTGTCTCCCTGGCTAGAGCTCTTGGGGCTGAGGCCTGTCCTGGTGGTCTCTGTGATCCACCACGGAGCCAGGGCTGGTGGACGAGACAGTGCCAAGCCTGGCCCTTGCTGGGCAGTCAAACACCAGGGGCCGTCAGGGTGCGGTGGGCGCTCCGCCCTGTTTGCACCCCGTCCCCTGACTTGGGTTGCGCTGTGCTCTCTCCAGCAGTCACGTAGGCGTCTGCAGCCCCTCCGACGCTCCGCCTGGTCCCATGTCCCGCCCTTTCTCGTCACCGACTGCTCTCCCGCCTCACTTGCTCGCCCTTGGTGATTTGGCTTTTTCATTTCAATCTAATTAGAACTCCCTGCCAGGAGAAGGCAACACAGGGCGTCCTCACCGCAGCGCTCCGGGAATTAGTCACTCGGTGCCCATTGTCGTTAATGGGAATTTGGCGCCAAGGCCATTTATCCTGGTGTCCTCAATCAATACCGTTAAAAATCTGTGGATTCTAAAACGTCAATACCCGGCCTGAAATATGGCGGTCCAGCCACATTTTATCTCGTTAATTTATAGTTCTGACGGACCACTGGCTTATAGAGCAACCATGAATCAACACTTAAATAAAATCCGCTCACAGATTAATTCTTTTTGATGCTCTCGTTTCAGTCTGTAATCTTCCTAACAAAACGTCCTCTGGTGCATTAGGCTGAGGCGGCTTCGGGGACCGCTGGCCAGTTCCACCAGGACCCGCACGTCGCCTGCTTTATGAGTCAGCGTCCTGCACGCCCCATCAGCCCATCTCCTCCCAGACCCTGGCAGGCTCGCTCAGGGCCAGGCCGCATGGCTTCTAGCACAGACCAGCCCCTCAGTCGCCCCAGCCTGGCTGTAGTGGCCTCTGAGGTGAAGGAGACAGTGCTCTCCCCGGAGCCCATGCCCTGGCTAGGCAGGCCCCTGCTCTTCCTGTGCCACCCTTCCCAGTGCTGTGGGCACATGTGTGCCAGGGCACGGATGGGGTGCAGATGCGGCCGAGTGTCCTCGGGAGGTCCCTTTGGCTTGTCTGGGGAAGGGGCTGACAGCCTGGCTGGTGGGCTGTTGAGGGAGAGCTGAGGTGAGGTGTGCACGGCTTTCTGCAGAATCCCCAGCGCATGGTGGGCACTCAGCAAAGGGTGCCCCTTCCCTCCCTCCGTCACTGCCCCATGAGGCCTTTCGGACGGTAGGAGACAGTGACTTGTTCCTGCTGGTTCCATATGTGGACGGGGCAGGCTGGGAGGAAGTGCTAGCATCTCTCCTCCGTCTTGCTTTTTCATGACTACATGGCCCCTTGGTGGGAGAGCAGCTTCCTTCTCGTGATGGGATGGCATGTGCGCTTTGCATGGGGCTGGGGGTTTCTTCTGCACTGGACCCCACCGCGTGCAACTTTGCTGTCCTCAGCCCTTGGCAGGCCCCTCCTCCTCTGGGGGGCCCTGTCTTTTGGTGAAGGGAGGGGTGTCATGATGCATGGAAATGAGTGGCCCACTGGTCTGGACCCATAAATGATCATTTCTCTTGGTTTTCTAGAAGTGTCTTCCAGTGCCCCCCTACCCTAGCTCTTGCATCATGATGGGGCCTCACCACAGAAACGCTACAAGGACACAGGAGGGCAGATGGCTGAGTGCTCACCTGGGCCAGGCCCGCTGACGTGGGTAAATGGATGTCAAACCCTTTGCTTATTCTGCATTTTGTCTCTGCGTCTGGGAGGGGAGTGTTTTTGCCCCCGTCTCACTGACCCAGACTCTGAGGGGTAGAGTGTTTGGTGAGGTGCTCGGGGCCATGCCCCCAGCGGGCACAGTGGGGCTCCTGCTCCAGCTGTGTGACTGTGGAGGCCTTGCCTGCTGATCCTGGAGAGCCGTGTGCCCTCGCCACATCTGTGCTCCTGCTCTGGACACACTGTTTGCTCACGCCGATTTGGGGAGTCCCCTTGGTGCTCACCCGGGCAGCTGGCTCGCCACCTGCAGAGGGGACCTCGGGGCTTCTGGGTGGAAGGCATGTCCAGAGGGATCTTGGCTGATCCCTCTGAGTGAGTGAGTGGCAGCCGCCGCTGCAGCAGGAGAAATGTTAGCCCTGGCGGTTGTGGAACACTTGGCACAGGAAGGATGAGCCGCATCCAAGCTAGAGCCTGGCAAAGAGCAGCAGGCCTCCCGGGACTTCGGAGAAGGGGCTGCAGAAAGGGCACCTCATCGGAGCCTTCAGA